GCCGTTGTTTTCGGGCCCCCCACCCCACGAATTCTTGCCCAAACTCAACCAAAACCCTTCTTCATGCCCCCCTCCATGCCCCGGCATCACAGCCCCTTGGAGCGTCTGTTTTTGAGACCCCCCACCCCGCGAATTCTCCCCCAAACTCGACCAACACCCCCCTCCATGCACCCCATCCATGCCCCGGCATCCTCATCTCTTGGAGCTTCTGTTTTTGGGGCCCCACCCCACGAATTCTCGCACGCACTCGACCAACCTCCTCCACGCCCCCCTCCATGCCACGGCATCTCCATCCCTTGGAGCCTCTGTCTTTGGAACCCCCCACCCCGCGAATTCTCGCCAAAACTCGACCAACACCCCCCTCCATGCCCCCCTCCATGGCCCGGGCATCCCCACCCCTTGGAGGCTTTATTTTTGGGACCCCCCAACCCGCGAATTCTCCCCCAAACTCGACCAACACCCCCCTCCATGTAGCCCTCCATGCTCCGGCATCCACACCCCTTGGAGCCTCTGTTTGGGGGCCCCCCACCCCGCGAATTCTCCCCCAAAACCGACCAACACCCCCCCTCCATGCCCACCTCCATGCCCCGGCATTCCCCACCCTTGGAGCCTCTGTTTGGGAATCCCCCACCCCGCGAATCTCGCCCAAACTCGACCAACACCCCCCTCCATGCCCCCCTCCATGCCCTGGCATCTCCACCCCTTGGAGCCTCTGTTTTTGGGGGCCCCCACACCACCATTTCTCGTTCAAACTCCACCAACACACCCCTCCATGCCCTCCTCCATGCCCCGGCATCCCCACCTCTTGGAGCCTCTGTTTGTCGGACCCCCCACCCCGCGAATTCTCGCCCAAACTCGACCAACACCCTCTCCGTGCCCCCCTCCATGCCCCAGCATCCCCACTCCTTGGAGCCTCTGTTTTGGGAACCCCCCACCCTACGAATTCTCGCCCAAACTCAACCAACACCCCCCCTCCATGCACCCCTCCATGCCCGGCATCCCCACCCCTTGGAGCCTCTGTTTTTGGGGGCCCCCACCCCGCGAATTATCGCCCACCCTCGACCAACACTCCCCTCCATGCACCCCTCCATGCCCCGGCATCCCCATCTCTTGGAGCCTCTGTTTTTGGGGCCCCACCCCACGAATTCTCGCGCAAACTTGACCAACGCCCCCTTCCATGCCCCCCTCCATGCCACGGAATCCCCACCCCTTGGAGCCTCTGTTTTTGGGACCCCCCACCTAACTCGACCATTTCGGCGACTCGAACCCGTCTTGGACCATCTTGTGGACCATCTTGGGGCCGCCCGTGCCTCCCGGAAGCGCGTCTGCAGAAATGGGGCCGCGTGGTGCCGTCTTCCGCCGTCTTCTGCAGGCGTTCCGCCCGTCGCCGGGGCCATGTCCCGGGGGGTTCCCCCCCAGACCCCCCCAGGGGGATACTAAACGGGACCCCCTTCCGCCAGGTCGGGGAAAAACCTGATATTGCCACGAACCCCAACCTTGGAGGACAAGTGGGCATGACGTGCGAGACAACAGAACAGCAAAGAAGAGGACGCCTACAGCGCGCATGACGTTGGTTCCCGCGTTGTCCGTTTGACGCTGCGAGGGTTTGTCGAGGCGCCTCCAGCCGTCCCGGGGTCTTGTTGGGGCAGTCCCAGTGCTCTCTTGGGCGTTTCTGGGGGCTCGCTGGAGGCCTCTCGAGGCCTCTTGGGGCCTCTTGGGAGCCTGCTGGGAGTCTCCTGGGGACCTCTTGGACTCCTGGGGGCTCTTTGGGCGGGGAGCTCGACACGTCAGCCCCCGCACCCGGCGGCCGCGCGTGGAACACATCGTGGCGTCAACGGCCAACATTATTCTAAGATGCTCGCTGCCGCGCGCAGCAATCAAAACCAATTAAAGGCCTGGGGAGGGCCAGAGGCCGCTGGCCAACGACCACCATTCCTGTGAGATGTGCACTGGCCAGCGAAGAATTGAAGTACACATGTGCAATTGGGGTGGAGCGTACAAAATGATGGTCGTCAACTGCGGGACAGCCCCTCCCGGCCATGCGTGGGCCACATCGTGGCGCCAACGACCACCGTTGTTCTTAGATGCCCACTGCCGTGCGAATCTTTCAAAATCCGCCCACTCCCACTTGGTGGTGGGGGGGGGAATGCGTGTGAGACATTTGGCTGTGCCCCTCAACTCTTCCCGATCCCCTGGGGCCCAAAATGACGTTTTGAGGGGGGCCTTCCCCGGGCCTATGACTTCGCGAACGCTTGACCTGGGGCCTCGGGAGCCTGAGAAGAGCTCGAAACAGCCCAGGAGAGCTCACACAGAGCGCCAAGATAATTCGATAGGGTTTTCAAATGACCCACCATGCCCCCTCGCACACTCAGGCGCGCTAGACTGCCAGGGGCTGTCTCGTAGGGTTCCTGTATTCTCTTCAGGGGCGGACGACCCGCGGCCCCTCCAGAACGGTTCTGCGACGCCAACAAAGCCGCCACGGTAGCCCAATATGGCTCGAAGACTGCCTCAGAGGCTCCGAGGAAACCATCAGAGTTCGCGATAACGACCGACACTGGGGCCCAACGCGGGAGAAAACATGGAGTAATCTTTTCTCAACAAACTGTCATGTTCACAGCTCTTCCAGCTGCACGCGCTCCACCACGCTTCAGCGGCCCTACCAACCGCTCCAGGCTCCTCCGGGAACCCCTCGAGTGGTTCCCCACGCGCCCCAGGAGGGCCCCACGCAGCTTCAGCATCGCCCACGACTGCCTAAGATGGCCGCACTGCAGCCCGAATAGATGCCGGATGAAGGAAACCCACACCGACAAAGGGAGCCTTCTGCCCCAAGAGGCTCCCGGGCCCTCCCAGAGAGCCTCCACAAATCTCGAAGATTACACCAAGAGGCCCCCAATATGCTCCCGAACTGCTACCACGACCCCTTCTAGGTGGATCAACGCGTCCCCGAAAAGGCCTCCCACGATGTCACTACGACCACCCACATGGCTCCAGTGGACTCTCGGGCAATCGCCACCATTCCTCCCGACCTCCTCTTCCTCCCTCCTCCCCATTATTCCCTTTTCCCTCCTCCCCCTTCTTGTCTCCTCCTCTTCCTCCCTCCTGGAGGAGGAGTAGAGAGGACAACGAACCATGGGTTGAGGAATTGGTGCTCGTTGTTCGATGTATACGTATTTCTCTGGAACCTTACTGGGGGCACCGGCGAAGAAGAAGCGAATCCGCCACCGTGCATCTCGGCACCGCATGGGCCTGTCCTCGGATGCTTCTGGGAAGCAGAGAAAGCCCCCAAGACGGTCGAAGAAGGCCCCAAGTCGCCGAAAGAGCGTTCAAAAACGCCCAAGATGGCCTCCAAACGGCCCAAGATGCGTCCAGGACGCCCTCCAAGAGGGCCCCCAAAACCAGACATCGTCCCATTCCCTAAGGAAAACGTATACTTTCAGCACATTCACCAGTTGAGTTTTTTATGCCTCCGATACGGCCCGAGAAACCCCCAAGAGGGCTCCTAGACGACCCAAGAGGACTCCAGAGCGGCAAAACAAAAAAACAAGACGGCCGACGAGGGCCACAGGACGGCCCCAAAAGGGGCCCAGAGGGGGAACCCGAACGTAACTTTCGAGCATGTGGCCCCGAGACGCCGATGCCCGTCCGACTTATCGGAAACACGCATACGGAAAAGCAAGACGCGGTCAGCCAAACGCACTAAGCAAATCAGCCTCCCTGAACTTCTCTGGGGTCTGCGGCAGAGGCGGCAGCCTTTAGATAAGCTAAGCGAGGATGAAATAAGCAACGCTAAGCTAAGGGGACGTAGCTGGGGGAATCGCGGGGCGGATCCTGGGGGAACCGCCCGGGCCGGTTCCCACTGCCCGGCCCCTTTAAGCAAAGAGAGTAAGAACCCTTCTAGGCAGAGCCTAGGTAATGGAAAAAACGATTGCGGTCGGTCCGATCACTGACGGCTGATCATGATCTCAGCTAAAACACCTGTACTTGAGCTTTGAACGTGGTCATGGTCCGTATACGATTCCTATGTGATGCGTATACGACCTCTATACGATTCGTATACGATTCCGATGTGATTCGTGCACGATTCTAATGTGATTCGTCGGAGGAATTCGCCAGAATCCTAAGAGGGTCTCTTCTTCAGGAATCTGAAGAATTCCTACGAGGGACTGTCTAATCTCCGGGAATCCTCGGGAATCTCTGAGAGGGCCGAATGGAGCGCCCAATAGAGCGCCCAAAAGAACGACCAATTGAGCTCCGGATAGGACGCCCAAGTAGAGCTCCTAATAGAGCGCGCAATAGAGCTCGTGGTAAAGCGCGCAATGGAGCTCCGAATAGAGCGCTCAATCGAGCGACCAATAGAGCGCCCAATGTTCGCCTCCTCGACAGCCTGTCAGACGCCTCTGTGAAGCCTCTCAGAAGCCTCGATGAGGCCTCACAGAGGCTTCTTAGAGGCCTCAGTCCTCGCAGAGGCCTCGGCCTCTCAAAGGCCGAAAAGAGCCTCTCAGAAAAGCCTATCAGAGGTCTCAGAGAAACCTCTCAGAGAGGCCTCTCAGGGGCCTCAGAGAAGCCCCATCAGAGAAGCCTCTCTGTGGCCTAAGAGAAGCCTCTGAAAAGGCCTCAGAGAAGCCCCTGAAAAAGGCCTCGCTGAGGCCTCTCAGAGGCCTCGCTGAGAGTTCTGCAGAAACTCTTCGGAAGCTCTGCAGGAGCTCTCCAGGTGCTCTTTAGAAGCTCTGCAGAAGCTCTGCAGAAGTTCTTCAGAAGCTCTGCAGAAGCTCTGACGCAACTCAGCAGACGCTCTTCATAAGCTCTGCAAAAGCTATTCAGAAGCTCTTCGGACGCTCTGCTTCGGAAGCTCTAGAGAAGCTCTGCAGAAGATCTGCATAAGCATTTCGTAAGCTCTGCAGAAGCTCGGCAGAAACTCTGCAGAAGCTCTTGGGTCGGTTGCTATCTGGTGTTCTCCACAAAAAAAATGGGAATCCTTCAGGTTGCATTTAGTCCGAAGTGGTTGTAATCGGTCTTATTCTCGGCCCGTCTCCTTCGCACGTCTCCGCGGCTCCTGCGCCCATGCACGCCAACAACCCACCTGCGGCATCTTCCTTGCCGACCAGCGCCTCACCACGCAGTGTCCTGGTGCTACCTATGGCAAGTGCGATGCTTACTGGCAACTCGTACTCTTGTGCCTGCGTGAGGTCGCCCGGGCCCACTGGGCTCATGCGCCTCTGCACGAAAAATATCCAGATCCCTATCGCTTGTGACTGTTCGCGGAACGGTCCCTCTTCGAGGGCCCGCCGAGGCCAGCCGAACAAGCGATAGCCAAGCCGAGATAGCGGGTGAACACCAGACAGCTAAACTGCGACTGGCGCTACCAGAGAGCTGCGAGAGCGAAACTCTAGCAACAAAGACCTGGGGCGCAGTCGCCGCCAGCCGAAAGGCGTACGCAGGGCTCCCGCAGCACAGAGCTGGACCTTCACATCGGAGGATGGGGAAATGTCGCCACCACCACCACCAGGGTTGGAGGCTCGTTCTGGGGACCCTCCGGGAGCCACTCCCTCCACTCATGCGTCCATGCTGCGTCGAACGTCCGTAGGCTTGAGTCGAGCACGAACTAGAGTCGAAATATAATCATCAAACTAGAGCTGAACAGATCCGTGAGGTGGGCCCCAGTAGCGTCCCCAAAACGAGCATCTTCCAAGGGGGCCCACATCCTGCGAGGAAGCCCACGATGCCTTTCCGAGCTGGGGGTGGGGGGTGCCTTGAGCGGCGAGGGGGGAGGTCGCCCCACCAGGATGACCCCCCTCCTCTCCTGGCTCCTCGCGCTGGTGGTGGCCCCGAGATCCGACGTTGCGCAAAAGTGCAACATTGCGAAACATCACTCGCGCTGGTGGTGGCCCTGAGGAAAGACGCTACGAAACAAATGCGGCATCGCAACGAACCACGACCGGAGACCCGGGCACCGTCTTCTTGCCGCAGCCCCCGGTGCCCGACGCCCGGAGAGAACGCCCGTCATGAAGAACATTCAACGCCGGGATTCTCCTGGCTGGCTCCTCGCGCTGGTGGTGGTGGTCTCGCATCTCGGGTCGGGCGAAAGGGGGGGATAGCAAAGGGGGGGGGGGAGAATCAGCTCGCGTAGCTGATTTTCCCGGCGCCTCCCTGCGCCGGAGGCGGCTATGTATCGAGGAATGGGCCCCTCGGCGGGGCCGAAACCAGCTGCATGCAGCAAATTTCGTAACCCCCCCTTTCCCAATCCCCCCCTTTCGCCCGACCCGAGCATCACCCTCTTCTCATTCACAGGGCACGGCCTCGCCCATGGGCACCCTCCCGAGACGCGGGCGCCCGGGAGCCCGTGCCCCCGAGGGCACGGGGGCGCCAAGAAGAGCCGGCGTCGACCCCGAGGGCCGCGAGTGGCGGACCGGGCGGTGCAAGCTGAAGCTGAGCAGGGGCCGACCGTCCTGGCATTCCTGTAGTCCTACCGCGAGATGTTCTTGGAACCCAAAAATGTTCTGAGAACAAGAACGATGCTCTTAGACCATCAACCCGATGTGATAAAACAGGACAGTCCCAACCAGAAATTTCGTGGGAACCACAAAAGGTTCTAAGAGAATTGTTTGGTAGGACTGTAGGCACGCTAGGACGCTTCGCCACTGCTCGATCAAGATTCGCAGAGGGCACGTGAACGACGAAGAGAAACGGGCCTCACGCGGAAAGACATGGCGACCTTACGCCGCGGTCTGCGCGGAACGCCGAGGCCTGCGCGGCCGCCGGCGCGGCACGCTGCATTGGGAACAAGGGCGCGCACGCGCGACCTTAATACCGGGGGTCAACTTACGCTCGTGGATGCCATGACAATGGACACTCTAACAGTCCTATTATTGAATTACAGATGTGTTTTGAATGTGTAAAACACATATCAAAACGTTTCAAACATTTTTTGAACCTATCTAAAACATAGTTGAAACATCTTTCAGACATCTGGAAATAATTTGGCAGCATGCTTCCTCTGCATTAATCGACTTCCACAAACTTACGCGCGAACGTCGGCGCAATCGACCCCGTTTCTCTACGTCGCTCACCTCTGCACGGCCATGCCTAGCCAGGGCCATCCTGGCTTGCTGCTCGGCAAGCCGGCGGCCATTCTGGCCGGGGCCGCCCTGCTCGCACCGGCGCTGTCGGCGCGGAGAGAATCGGGCGCCACATCGAGCCGCATCGCCGATGAATCGGCGATGCGGCGCGATCCTCCGACCCCATCTGCTCGGATTTGATCCGGGAGGCCTAGAATCATGCTTGGCCAATGTCACCATGGGCCCGGGCCCGGTGCATACGCCCAGAGGCCCCCGCAACATCCTAGGCCCAGGGTGGCCCTGGCCGGACACGGCGGTGCTGCCCAGACCTCCGACGTCTTGCCTCTCTCCATGTGGCCGCCCCGCGGAGCTCTGGACCGCTTCCCGGGGGCCGCCTTTTCTTCGTGCCGCAGATGGCCTCTTGACGGCCCCAAGCTCCACAATGGACGCCGCAAGCGGCGACACACCTGCGTCCTGATTTTTGTCGGTACGTCGGTCTCCTGAGCGGGGTCCGAGTAGATGCCGGTGCATCACCGATTAATCGGCGGTGTCGGTGATGCGTGGGCGACGAGAGCCGACATCGGGCTACACATCGAGCCGCATCGGCGATGCATCGGCGATGCGACGCGATCATTCGATCCCATCTACTCGGGCCCCATGCATTACAGTCGGACTTGATTGGAGAGGACACGCGAGAGGACACGAGACCCTTCCGAGGGCCACGCTGCCACAGAACTGCAGGAGGCACGGGCCGCAAGACACAGGACACGAAGGTACCCCTGATCTGGCAGGGCCGACCTACTCATCCGGGCCGCCTGTAGGGCGGCCTGGAGCTACATCGGAGGTCTGGGTGCCTGACGACGCGGGCCCGACGCGGCACCTCACGCGGCGTGGTGCACCCAGGGGCCGCCCCCCGGCAGGGGCAGGCGGTGCCCCGAGGGGCTCCTGCGACAGCCCGCGCCCGCCTCGTCCACGAGGACCTCCCTGCCGTTCCTGCGGGCAGGCCGAGGCGGTCGTCGCCGCTGTCGCCCACCGGGGGGACCGGCTAGGAGGGAACGTCGAACTGGAGTCGGCGATGCATCGCCGATGGATCAGCGATAGACCCTGGATAGCGAATCCACACCACCGTCCTGGGCGGGGTGACCTACCTGCCCCCTATCGGCGATGAGTGGGCCATGGAGGGTCGATGCGATGCTGGAGGGGCCCTGGGACACACAAATAAATAGACACAAGAATTCCCAATATTTGTCCTGTGTTTAACATTTTCCTGGGAATCGACGATTGATTGTGTCTGGGTGTTTTTTCCCTCCCGAGATGCATCGCTCCCTGAGCCGATCCCCGCCTAACGTTGCCACTGACGTCGCCGGGCGCAGGGAAGAGCCAGTTCGCCGAGCCGACCAGAACGGACAAGGTACTTAGCAACTGGGGATCGTTGCTTCCTGTGAGACTGCGCAAGGTTTGGCAAGTTTCGTGTTGATGCATCACCTGATTCTCCAATCATTTGATTATTGCGCTTTCGACTACATCGTTTTCATGGTAGTAGTTGCAAGACGGTCGGCTCACGTGGCGGAGAATACACGCTGCCGCGTTGTTCCATCTGTGGACCTCCCCAGGGGGCACGAGCCCAGCAAGATCATCAAGGAACGACCAGGGGCGAATGACGAGTGGTGACCGGGGATGGGGTCGGGCAACCCACAGGCCTACATCACGGAACATGATGACGTCGATTGCATTGCTCCTGCTCTTCCTTCCCCTCATCTTTTGGGCCTTCGGGGACGCCCCCTCGTCGCCACGACCGGATCCGCGTCGGAATCTGGGCCCGATCACGGTCCAGGCAGGAGAGATCTGGACCCGACAGGGGCCCATCGCGGCTGGCAAACGGGGTGGCCTTCGGAGGCGGGGCGCTTCTCTGAAGAGGGCGTCGACTATACACACACGCGGATCCTGGCTAAGCCATTCTATGGGCCCTGGACCGGTGTGTATTGCCCCGTGATTGGCCAAGCCAAGCGGGCGTACACACATCTTGCCATCGCTCGGACGTCCGTTCCCCGTGCGTTGTTCGGTTTCTTGCGTGCTTTTTCGGCCAGATGGTCCAGGATGCTCCTCGAGGATCCTCGCCAGAAAAAATGCACACGTCCGAGCGATGCCAAGCATTGCCCCTTGCTAGCCCCTTGATGGCACAGCCAAGCCCCTTGCTGGAAGCTGGACACACACACACACACAAACGTGGCAGCAGGCACGTGCAGAAGCCCAGCCTGCCCGAGGTAGATGCAGGTCGACAATATCATCGAGAACCTTCGGATTTAAGTGACTACCTACCAAGCCACCACAACCCAACCCGAAGACCCGAATTTCGGGTTGGGGGGGGGATGGGCTCCATATGTGGTTTTTCGATGTTCCCCGCCCCCCCCAACTGGAAATGGAGGGCAAATTGAAGCCTTCGGGTTGGGTTGGGGTGGTCTGGTGGGTGGTGATTAAGACATCTGGGCCAGCTCTCCAGAACATTGGTTAAGGAACGCTGGCCCAACTTCTCGGGAGAAGGTTTCGTAATCCGATGCACGGCTGCACTGGAGTAAACCCTACGGGTCACAGCACCCCTATCAACTCCCCAAGACCCGCACACAAAATGTAGGGCAAGTAAAATGCAAAATCATGCGGGTCGAGCTCCATAATCGCTTCGCGCAACTGCCGCGTCATCCGACAAAAATTCGAAAGGGGCCTCTGCGGAACATTCCGTATGATTGCGGTCAATCTGTGCTCATAAGATTCCAAGCGATGGGCCTCCGTATCAACGGTTCTCCGTGGTCCGTCTGACCCTGCCCACAACCTTGACTCCTCTTGGTGGCGCATATGCTACTTCCGCCGACCTTGCGCGGGCTTCCGCTGGGGGCGACGCCCTCGTTCTGCTTCCGCCGGCTTCCGCCGGGGAAGGCAAGTCAACATCTCGATGCCTCGAAAGCAAATCTGGACGCCCGAAATGGGTACCGAAAGAATGGGTACAATGCCCAACAGCAAATGTTGTCCCAAACCAACAGCGGCCGCTGTTGGGCAGGCGGCCTCCTGTCTCGAATGGACACAGGCCGCGGCGGCGTGGACAGCGAGCCCTGTTCAAAATGAAGAAGATCCGCTGTCGGGCATTGTACCCATTCTTTCAGTACCCATTTCGTGCGTGAAGAGCAAAACCCTCTCGGAAGCGCGCCGCGTGTGTCGAGCTCTCGCCCAGGCAGGCGGCGCCCTGTGTATCCAGCTCGCTGGTACACTGGCCCTGCGCACCCGGGCGGGCCTGGCCGGGGTCGTGGCACCGTCTGGCCATCGCTCGGACGTCCATTCCCTGTGTTCTTGTTCGGCTTCGTGCGCGGCTTTCTCGCAAGATGGTCAAGGATGCTCCTCGATGGTCCTCGCCGAGGGAAACATGCACACGTCCGAGCGATGCCAAGTCATCGAGCGCCCCTCGGTCCAGAAGGGTCCTGGAGTGGCACGCCATGATGTGCCTCCTGCCCGCTCCCGTCCACGTTCTCGGCGACGGGTTCATGAACTCCCTGTCCTCATCGTCGCTGACGGCGGCCAGCGAGGTCAGAAGGAGACTCCTCCTGCCTCCTGCCCCTCCTCCCTCCTCCTGCGCTCCCTCCTCGCCCCTGATGTGGCCAGGACGTCCGACGTGGTGAGGCAACGCAACCCGTGCGCAACTCGTTGCCGCAACCCGTTACCCCCACACTCGAGCCGGGTTAATCCGTCAGGGGATCCAAAGGTTCCAAGGGTGGGCAAAGTGCCCGCCGTGATACTCTGCTCACGACGCCCAGGTGCAAGGGAAGGGCCGACTCTGTCTCTAGTGAGTGTCCTCCTGAGGCCTCCTGAGAGCTGTGGAGAGCTCCAGAGTGATGGAGGAGGAGGAGGAGGAGGAGGAGGAGGAGGAGGAGGAGGAGGAGGAGGAGGAGGAGGAGGAGGAGGAGGAGAGGAGGAGTGGAAAAAGGAGGAGAGGAAGTAGGAGCGGAAACCAGAGCACACTCGTCGCACTAGCACAGGCAGCGCCGAACAAGGACCGGCGGACCGTTCTGGCCACGGCCTGCCTCGGCCACGACCGTTTCTCCGACCAGAAAGCTCAGGAGCGGCCCGAGATCCAGAGCCCCTCCCCTGACAGGTGAGGCGAGGAGGAAGAGAAGGAGGAGGAGGAGGAGCCCAGTCAGCGTCTTGACATTCGGTCAAGCATCCATCCACGATGCTGCAACACGCCCTCCCGACCAGGATCCCCTCCCCGTGCCTCCCTGCTCTTCTACACCGCGGGAGGCGCCCCCCTTCAAGGACGAACACCCACTTGGCCTGCCACTCCGCCGAGGCCCCGCTCTGTCAAGGATCCATCTTCGATGCATCCTACAAAACCGAGAAGAGGTAGGATGAAAGAATTGGAGGGACGTGTCCACCGATAGCCCAATTTGGGAGCCCAATTTCGAAAAAGAACCGCCATGCATCCATGCAACTATCACACGACTTGGATATACGGGTCTTCGAATAAGAAAGAGAATTCTCGGACGGGACCCAATTTTTGAAAACGACCCTGACTCAATCCGGATAGCAACTGGAACGTTTAAGGCGAGTGTGCGCGGCTCCAACGAAAAAAAACACATGCTGAACACCGCAGGCTCTCTATCCGTGTAGCTGTTGGGAGCTTTTACAATGAATGTGTGGGGTGTGGGGTGCTCAAGCGATAACTACACGATGCCAAGCACCAACCACGAGGTAAAAACGTGGATAACAATCTCAAGCGAACAGCCCGGCCCAGCCTCTGGACACGTCTGGGGGGGGAGGAGGGACGCGCAGGTGGGGCAAGGAGAATGAGACGGATGAGAGGGATGAGAGCCGCCGATATTCCAGATAAGAAGGAGTCCCCGACTCCGCTGACCCGATGTGGTGGTTCCACACCCAAGGGATCTTCTTGCCGCTCGCCTTGCCGACTGGGTCGCCCAGATAGCGCGCCTGTGAGGGAAGGACGGGGAGGAGAATCTGAGGACGTGTGGAGGAGGAGGAGGATGTGAGAAGGAAAAGGAAGCTGGGAAGAGGGGGGGAGGACTTTAACGTGATTGGTTCATGCCATGCTACACTCATCAATGAAAAGCCTGCTCAGGCTTCGCTCATCAAAAGGAGGCGAGTGGGCCATGCAGGAAGTGGCACCTCGTACTTGCTGACAGGACTACAGGTGCTTCGACCGCGAACGCAGGCACCAAAGCCTAACGTCCACAAAGAAGCCCACCCGGAACCTGCAAGAACGCCCCGACCGATGCACACTCCACGCTGCAGGAGGGAAACACGCGCAGAGATACGCACAATTGAAAACCGTGGCTGCGCAAGTCTAAACTCCCGGAGATTGCCTGAGGCGAAGTAGCCACTGGGGCTCAGGCACATGCCTGTGCTACGCTCTTTCTCCCACTCCTGCTGGCGCATGCCTCCATTTCTCCATGATCAGCCTCTGGGGGTCCCTAGACGATGCGGGGACAGACTGACAGACTATGAAATCCGAGCAAGCTCAACGCACGGTCAGTCACCGAACTTGTCGGGGACTCTTGATGCACCAGTCACACGAAACATCCTCGAAGAACGGGCCAAATCCCAAAATCGTGCGGCCACCCAAGATCCCCAGTAATTCACCCAGCACGTTGGCCACCGCGCCGTTTTCAACTTCCGAAGCCATGATCTCGGCCATCAGACTCCTGGGACCCTCTGGGAGTGGGAGCGTAACCGACAAGACGTCGTCAAGGCGTGCACGCAGTCGGGTAAACACTAATCTTACACGCTTGCTTGCTTCCCGTCTGGGCACCGAAGAACACCTCGGCCACGCTGTCCCAGCCGGCACGTGGGGATCGACAGCGCCAATATGCTTCACCATGGGCACAAGAAAATCCAAAGGAAGCCCCACATCCGCGATCGGGCGTGGACTACCCCGGCTCAGCATCACCCGGCTCCACCAACTTACAACAGCTGTCATGCAGTATTTCGGGGGACTTCACAAGTCTGGCTCAACAAATACCTGTATGCCCGTATGCCCCCCATGCTCACATGTTGGGGATAATGCCGCTTGGGGGTCCAGGCTCCAGGGGGATTTGCTTGATCACCGTCAGCTCGCATGTACGGATACAGGCTGTACGGATGTACGGTATACGGAAAATGCTCAGTAGTCGTCGTAGTCGGAATCCCACCAGCCCTTTAGGGCGTGAGTGGTTTAGCGAGCCCCCTCTGTCCTCAACCCCCCTTCTTCCCCTTCGGGGAGGGGTTTACCCCTCCCCCTACCCCCTCCCCCTGGGCCTGGAGAGGGCGGCCCGCGGGTCGTCAGGGGGGTCTTTTTCGACGCCTGGGAGGGCCAAAAAACGACGAGCCTCACGAGGATTCTGGCCCCGACGGGGGGACGCTCTTGTATCCCCCTCCTCTTCTGTGAAGCCAAAATCATTGTTTTTACGATGGTGTTGGCCCCATTTTGGCCTCCCGAGGGGGCCGCGCTCATCTTCCTTCATAGCAAAATCATTGATTTTACGATGGTTTTGGGCTCATTTCGTCCTTCTCAGGGGGCAGCGCTTCTTTGTGCTTCTGAGGAGGTCGCAAGAGGCCCCAAGATGGCCCCAAGAGGCCCCCAGGAGCCTCCCCAGAGGCCTCCAAGAGGCCCCCAAGAGGCCCCCAAGAGGCCCCAAGAGGCCCCCAAGAGGCTCCCAAGAGGCCCCCAAGAGGCCCCCAGAGGCCCCAGGAGGCCCCCAAGAGGCCCCCAAGAGGCCCTCAAGAGGCCCCCAAGAGGCCCCAAGAGGCTCCAAGAGGCCGCCAAGAGGCCCCACGAGGAGCTCGAACGACTCACACCAGGACGAGGGGCCCGAACGACTCATACCACGAAGAACCCGAACGACTCACGCCAGAAGGAGGACCCCGAACGACTCCTACCAGGACGAGGCGCCCGACCCATTCACACCACGAGGAGCCCGAACGACTCACACCACGACGCGCGCCTCGAACGACTCACACCACGAGGAGCCCGAACGAGTCACACCAGGAGGAGGGGCAGCGCCCGAACGACACACGCCAGAAGGAGGACCCCGAACGACTCCTACCAGGACGAGGCGCCCGACCCATTCACACCACGAAGAGCCCGAACGACTCACACCACAAGGAGGGGCCCGAACGACTCACACCAGGACGAGGCGCCCGAACGACTCACACCACGAGGAGCCCGAACGACTCACACCACGACGCGGGCCCCGAACGACTCACACCACGAGGAGCCCGAACGAGTCACACCAGGAGGAGGGGCCCGAACGACTCACACCAGGATGAGGGGCCCGAACAACTCACACCACGAGAAGCCCGAACGACTCACACCAGGACGAAGAGCCCGAACGACTCACACCACGAAGAGCCCGAACGACTCACACCAGGAAAAAGGGCCCGAACGACCCACACCAGAACGAGAAACCCCAAACGACTCCAATCACGAGGAGCGTTTTCTCTCCCTCCTCCTCCGCCTCCTCCTTCTCCCGCCCCCCCCAAATGAGGATGCACAAGGGGGCGGGAGGAAGGAGGAACAGGGGAGATATGCGGGGCCAAGCGGACACACGCCTGAAAAAAAACACGACTGCCGCCATGCTTCGCAAGAGTTGCTGCTGTGAGATGGGCTGGTGGGGATACGCGAAGCGTAAAGAATTGTAGTACTCGCCGTCGCCGTCGACGTCGTAGCAGTAGTGATAGTAGGAATGGTAGAAGTAGTAGTAGTAGTAGTAGTAGTAGTAGTAGTAGTAGTAGTAGTAGTAGTAGCAGTAGTAGTAGTAGTAGTAGTAGTAGCAGTATTAGAATGAGTAGTGGTAGCAGTGGTAGTAGTAGTAGTAGTAGTAGTAGTAGTAGTAAGTAGTAGTAGTAGTAGCAGTAGCAGTAGCAGTAGCAGTAGCAGTAGTAGTAGTAGTAGTAGTAGTAGTAGTAGTAGTAGTGGTCGCAGTAGTAGTAGTAGTAGTAGTAGTAGTAGTAGTAGTAGTAGTAGTAGTAGTAGTAGTAGTAGTAGTAGTAGTAGTAGTAGTAGTAGTAGTAGTAGTAGTAGTAGTAGTAGTAGTAGTAGTAGTAGTAGTAGTAGTACTAGTACTAGTAGTAGTAGTAGTAGTAGTAGTAGTAGTAGTAGTAGTAGTAGTAGTAGTAGTAGTAACCGTAGTAGTAGTAGTAGTCGTAGCAGTAGTAGTAGTAGCAGTAGTAGTAGTAGGAGTAGTAGTAGTAGTAGTAGCAGTAGCAGTAGTAGTGGTAGCATTAATAAGACTAATAAGTGTAATAGTGGTAGTAGTAGTAGCAGCAGTCGCAGCAATAAGCGTAATGGTAGTAGTAGTAGTAGTAGTAGTAGTAGTAGTAGTAGTAGTAGTAGTAGTAGTAGTAGTAGTAGTAGTAGTAGCCACACCAGCCCATCTCACAGCAGCAACTCTTGCGAAGCATGGCGACAGTCGTTTTTTTCAGGCGTGTGTCCGCTTGGCCCCGCATATCTCCCCTGTTCCTCCTTCCTCCCGCCTCCTTGTACATCCTCCTTGTGGGGGGAGCGGGAGAAGGAGGAGGCGGAGGAGGAGGGAGAGAAAGCGCTCCTCGTGATTGGAGTCGTTTGGGGTTTCTCGTCCTGGTGTGAGTCGTTCGGGCCCTTCTTCCTGGTGTGAGTCGTTCGGGCTCTTCGTGGTGTGAGTCGTTCGGGCTCTTCGTCCTGGTGTGAGTCGTTCGGGCTTCTCGTGGTGTGAGTTGTTCGGGCCCCTCATCCTGGTGTGAGTCGTTCGGGCCCCTCCTCCTGGTGTGACTCGTTCGGGCTCCTCGTGGTGTGAGTCGTTCGGGGCCCGCGTCGTGGTGTGAGTCGTTCGGGCTCCTCGTGGTGTGAGTCGTTCGGGCGCCTCGTCCTGGTGTGAGTCGTTCGGGCCCCTCCTTGTGGTGTGAGTCGTTCGGGCTCTTCGTGGTGTGAATGGGTCGGGCGCCTCGTCCTGGTAGGAGTCGTTCGGGGTCCTCCTGGCGTGTGTCGTTCGGGCGCTGCCCCTCCTCCTGGTGTGACTCGTTCGGGCTCCTCGTGGTGTGAGTCGTTCGAGGCGCGCGTCGTGGTGTGAGTCGTTCGGGCTCCTCGTGGTGTGAATGGGTCGGGCGCCTCGTCCTGGTAGGAGTCGTTCGGGGTCCTCCTTCTGGCGTGAGTCGTTCGGGTTCTTCGTGGTATGAGTCGGTCGGGCCCCTCGTCCTGGTGTGAGTCGTTCGGGCTCCTCGTGGGGCCTCTTGGCGGCCTCTTGGAGCCTCTTGGGGCCTCTTGGGGGCCTCTTGGGTGCCTCTTGGGGGCCTCTTGGGGGCCTCCTGGGGCCTCTGGGGGCCTCTTGGGTGCCTCTTGGGTGCCTCTTGGGTGCCTCTTGGGGCCTCTTGGGGGCCTCTTGGGGGCCTCTTGGAGGCCTCCGGGGATGCTCCTGGGGGCCTCTTGGGGCCATCTTGGTGCCTCTTGCGACCTCCTCAGAAGCGCAAAGAAGCGCTGCCCCCTGAGAAGGACAAAATGAGCCCAAAACCCTCGTAAAATCAATGATTTTGCTATGAAGGAAGATGAGCGCGGCCCCCTCGGGAGGCCAAAATGGGGCCAAAACCATAGTAAAAGCAAGGATTTTGGCTTCACAGAAGAAGAGGGGGATACAAGAGCGTCCCCCCGTCGGGGCCAGAATCCTCGTGAGGCTCGTCGTTTTTTGGCCCTCCCAGGCGTCGAAAAAGACCCCCCTGACGACCCGCGGGCCGCCCTCTCCAGGCCCAGGGGGAGGGGGTAGGGGGAGGGGTAAACCCCTCCCCGAAGGGAAAGAAGGGGGGTTGAGGACAGAGGGGGCTCGCTAAACCACTCACGCCCTAAAGGGCTGGTGGGATTGTAGTACTCGCCGTCGCCGTCGACGTCGTAGCAGTAGTGATAATAGGAATGGTAGTAGTAGTAGTAGTAGTAGTAGTAGTAGTAGTAGTAGTAGTAGTAGTAGTAG